ATACACATTACAACACTGGTCTGGACCAACCACAACATTCATCCGTTAAGGAGATTCTTAAAGAATTGTGCCCAAATATTGGTAAAACTAGTGCTTCTGCTTGTCCAGTAAGTTACTTTGAACAAAAGAGCTGTGAATGACCATTGGATTACATCACACATAGGGCACTATTTCTTGTATGTGTGCCACAGCCTTGTGATCTAATCCACACATAGCTTCAGTATCAGGTGATGGCTAGACTTGCTAGTAGTCTATCCCAGCAGCTGGCATTAAGAGACTTTGGTGAGCAATACAGATGTGTTATATAGATGTGTTATATAGATATGTTATATAGATGTGTTATACAGGTGAGTTACCGGCAAGTTATTCATGTCATCAACACCTTCTTTTCAATGTCAGACTGAAAATAAATACATGTCACTTGCACACCCCAAAATTTATACAAACAAAATACACAGTCCATTTAATTTCAAGATACTATTTTGAATAAAGTCTACACTGAAAAGCAGTCCTATGTACAAATCTAAGTACTGATCATGGAGGTCTATTACCCAAACTATGATAACTGACAGCTTTGAGGAAAAACCTGACCCTATCTGACAAGGATAGGATAGAATTACCCTCTGTCAATAAATTTCTTTCAAAGAAGTCAATAGCAGCGATCTGATCATGCTTGCTGCAAATAACAGTGATCTGGTGCACATCTGCGACCACTTCACACACAATTCAATAAACATTTGAATATAATTACTAAAATAGATTACAAACAGAAGCTCAAGTATAAAAAGAACCCTTGTGAATGAGATATGGAATAACAGGATTCCATGACATACTTGTGGACACAATATGCCAAGTGCTCTCAATGTGATGTGTTTGCATTGGCGGAAAAAATGTTAAAACTCATTGTGGGGCATTAGGTGCTGTCTTTTGGGAAAATGTGTGTGCACCATACTCAAGAAAATAAGGTATCTATAGAATAACCGTGGCAGGCTACCAGACCAATACAGAAACTGAATCCTGGGATAAATCATACCATTGCTTACAGGAAGAAAGTTGTGGTTGATCCAAACCATTATCATAAAGTTATGGACAAACATGAAGATAGCATGTGGAGACGTGAATCACAGATAGACAGGAAACAGTCCTGAAATTACACTTGAGTCCATCACAAGATTTATATACATATACACTTAATCTCTCAGCTGAGCCCTGTGATGCCACATGTAACAATTCTACCACCCAGATTCTGAACCTGATTGTTACTGTGTGATGTCCTGCTACTTGGTTCAGACAACAACAAAATTTAAGATTTTCATGCAATTTTCAAAAATATCAGAATGTTACTTTTTAAGAAACAAATGGTTCAAGGCTTGAGTGGACATGAAATATTGATGGATTTATTTCATTGAAATCAAAATTGTTTTACTACGTACAGGTATACTTCAACAATGACAAAACAAGGCGACACATTTTCTTCATGTGCACAAGGCCTTTCGGTTAACTTAACAACAAGTTGTACCTTGCCATGGATTCAGCCGAGAGACAAGTTCCGACCCCCACATGGCAATATAATATGGCAAGCTGTTATGGTACAGTCACGAAGTTCAGTTCCAGGATAAATAGATACCGATTGTCAAATTATATATACAAATACATAATAGAGTTAGTATAAGTAAAATAATATTTTTAAGTATTAATGAGGCATTGAAAAACTCAATTTGAATTGAGGGATCATGTCAAAGTATAAGTTATCAATTTAAAATTTCAAAACTTTTTGAGAAATACTTTATTGACTTAGAATGTAAATATAGAATGCTGATTTCAACAAATTTATTAAACTTACAGTGAGTAATTCTAACTTGTGGCAGAACACCTGACATAGAAAATCTGATTTTTAAAAAAGATCTGAATGGAAAAACAATACACCTCATTCACTAAATTATTTCAATCACATACACCTTATCTTTGACATGTCAATTTTCACCAGGATATACATTATGTTTTTGAGATGGCCCCTGAAACAGGTCAAAAAATAAATACTGTTTGTATCTGAGTTATATAAATATATTACACTAGTATGGCTGCAGGCTCAAATAGTACATTGCAACATGTCCACTTGGCCATAATAATTTGATTTGTCTAATTTCTTTTTAAGTTAAACGGATAATGCCGTAAACGTAATATACTCATAGAAAAAATAGACAAAAACCCTCCTTGACATTGTCATATGACTGTAGGTAATCTCCTATTTAATCACAGAATAATTTCAGTCATAGGTTGCCTATTACTTCTTTTGCGAGTGTATTTACCTGTTCTAAGTTGGAATAAACTCAGTCAAATATGAGATTTTCTCAAGGCTTACATATAATCTATGATTAACTATTGACAACAATAATGATGGTGATGAATAACTATAATAATTCAATCATATGCAGGTTGTTTTTATAACATGAGGGGTTGAACATGCAGTAAGACAAATGATTACATTGTCATGTTGAAACATTCAGCTGTTAATCAAACAAAGCTATACGCAAGCACTGTTTGACAGTGGCCTGCAATATGGCATATTTTGGCAGCCTGTGGTATAACAACCTCACCCAGCATTACCTACAATGGTTTTCCCAGAACTAGAAATACATTGATTTTTGTCTCCCACAATTATAATGTAAAAGCAATAAGTGTCATATATTAAAATAACTTTATGGTAAAGTAATTTCATCTAGGGTCATACTTGTCCAAGCATCTAAGGAAAAACATTTACAAGTAAAACTGTTTTGGCTTTTCAAAAGCATAGACCCCAGAGGTTCTGAAAAATGAAAGAGAGCATTTTGGTGTGAATGTTGGCAATATGAGTCCCACTGCGTAAATGCTCAATGCTTGACTCCTGATGGCCAATGACAGATGACATAGTTTACATTAACAATTACCTCACAATCCAAACATACTCAGAGGCAAGGACAGGCTACAGCCATCATGTATCATTTTCAACTTATTAGCACTTATTAGATAATGGCGTAGTTTGTTTGTTGTTTCAAATATCTTAATTACAGTTCCACCATTGTCTCTTTTGACATGGAAGTTCAACAACATTTTCATGTCTATCATGCTGCTGTCTGACCCAGTAGTCAAACCTCCAGGATACGAGAACTTGAATTGGTTATTTTCATGACTGGTGCTGTAACCTTTCCATGCTAAGAATAAATGGGAATAAAAATCAATATATTTCCATTTCCAACAGGACTTCATTGGGATCATCATAAACTATCTACTTCAGTTTCATCACCTCAAAAAATAGGTATATTTCAACCTCAAGGTTACATTTCACTTTCTGTGACACATCTTACAATGAATTTCAGCTGCACGGGGCAACTTCGTGACATGTTATCTCTACTACATAGGCATCAATTTCAACATACATTCATCATAATCAATAACATATTCAGGTTAAAATAACACCACCATCCTCTTTCAGCTCAGGCGTGCAAGTGCAAAATGACAGTGATTGACAAAAGAGACTCTTGACAAATTTCAACAATACAAAACTGAACATAACATGTCATTTCAGAAGTTGTGTCGGAAGGTTTAAAAAGCTAACAAACTGAGTATAATGGGAGACATTAATCTTGTACTAACGTTATTCCAAGGCATTTAAAACAATGCCAATTTTTCTATAATGCTGATAGGTGGAAACGATAAATATTGCATCCATAAATATAATAAAGTTCATTTAAGTAACTAGTGTAACAATAAAAATAATAATGATGAAATGATAATCATAAACAGAACTGTAATCTTCTTGCTTATGAAATTGGTATCATGTGTCCATGTGTCTTTCAGAAGTAATTTGAATAAAATCAAGAGAAATAACTCTAATACTCCGACAAACCAATCATGTTTGACAAAACATAAATCCTTTGATCTCTGATTATATAGTCACATTATATAGTTTGTCTTGATTAAAGGAGAATATCTTCTTGGTATGTAAATATTATTTTGTCAGTTCAAACTTGATATTATTTCTGTCATTTTGCTGAGATCGGTTATGTTGTTACTACAAATAACAACATTAACTAGTCTGCCCACAAGGAACATCCAGTAACAAACATTGAAAGCCCAGCAGTAAATAACAATCAGTATGGTTAAATAATCAACATTCACAGACACTCACCTCAGAACTGAGATTTGTTTAAATGGAGAACCATTCTAAGTGTCCCTGTATACATGTACAGTATTGAATTTTTTTTGACCACACACAAGATGCCAGATGTAAGGAACCATAATTTACAGAGAGCACAATATGCTGCAAAATCTGTTAAGTTGCAGTGTGGGAACACGTATGAAGGAAGGATTCTATTAACGTTTCCTGTCATTCCTGATCATATCAACACCCATCTTTGTTAATCTAGTACATGTATATTATCTCTTTCATTATCATCATTACTATTGAAAGACAAAAGTGTCAGAATTAGACGAACCACTGACCACTGACCACCCAGCTCCCCTCAATTTGTGTTCCCGTAAATTTGGCACCAAGCAAGTATTTGGACATGTCAGTCTGTTCCCCCAAATTTGGGCTCCCGTAAATCTGGCATCAAGCAAGTATTTTGACATGTAACCCTGTTCCCCCAAATTTGGGTTTTCTTAAATCTGGTATCTAGAAAGCGTTCAAACATGGTATGATATTTCCTCGAACCTTCTGGAATAGTCCAGAGCAAGACAGAAACACATACTTGTACTTGGCCAAAATGACTCTGTCGAAGTGGTTGCACACAGAGAGTAAAACTTGTAGTTGGAATTTTAAGACTAAATGAATGTATTTGTACAAACTTGATTTTAAAATGAATAGTCACCAAAACAATGTGAAAATATATCCACCACAATGGTATCCAGAATTACTAGATGAAATGATATTTCTTCTGTTTCTTCTGAAACCAGGACTTTTGTCGACACTGCCTATGTTAAAATCAAGACATTTTACAATGACTCAAAAATCAATGTACATAATATGTCTCTTGTTCACACAAAAAACATTTGTTCAGAACCACTCTGCAATGCAAATTTTAAAGAACTTGGAAAAACATTCCTTAGGAGAGTCATCCTACATAAAACACCAAGCAATCACAAAACACAGTTGCCATGAAAGTAATATCAGTCATTAGGCAAGTATGATGCTGGATTTTCACTTGTTTCCATTCATCAGGGAAATGGTCGTGCAGTATCTCATGTCCACAACATTCTTGAGCATTTTAGAACGGAGTTAACAAAAATAAATATTCATATAAAAGAGTATGATGTTTTTTTCTATCTAAAATTCACAAAGGCCAGACTTTTTATAAAATATGATCACAGATTCATCACCGTTCATCTGATCATAATATAATAAGAAATGGGGAAAAAAATGTTTAAAGCACTCCAAAGAAACCAAACTTTCATGTCCACAACAGTTTGTAGACTTTTCCCCGCCTAAAAATAACGACAAACCATAACTTTTTGCACAAAATTCTGTATACCAGAAAGTAAAAAAAAATCTGGCCTAAGATTACATGGGTATCCGACTTTCTACTTTATCATTTTGAAATAAAAATCATTCACAGTATTCAATCTAACAAGTGTTCCTAAGTCATTACAAACATATTTTTGAGACCCACCACCCTCTCCAATACAAGTCACCTTAAGCTCCATCACCAACTCCCCTGTAACTTATGACGAGGACACTTCTGTTAGGTTGAATACAGTAATTGGTGTTAATACAAAGACCTCTATAGGTCATCTGCTACCTCTTTGGTATATTTTGCCTCCAAGTAATATCTTGTTATAACTGAGGCTGCTATCGGTGACTGACATCAAGGCAGCATATACCAACCAATCAAATGCAAGGCACGGATGACTGATTAGGAATAACTTGACCTGGGAAAAAATGGCTGCCATCTTCTTGCTCTTGATAGATGATTCTCTTAAGCTGATTGAAGAGATGACAAGTTTGTGGAAGTTGGTGAAAATGATTTTGTGCTGCTTTAATTACACCGGAGCTGTTTGCAGCCTTGGAAACCAACACTAGGACTAGTCTTTATCACTTCGCCATATATGAAAACTAGCAAATATAGCATAAAATAGTGCTTCCAGTGGCACCACAAGGTATTAAGCTGAAAAGGAGAAAATAAAAATGTTTGCGTTGCCAAGGATATGTCATCACTAGGAAATGAGTTTTTGTGCAACATTGTGTTCATGCGTATTCTGGTTTGAACTTGAGATAGTTTATGAGGCGTGCTGGCAATGGGAGTCGGGAGATGACATCTGGAGGGAAGTGTTGCAAAATACGAATACGGCACCGATTCTGCAGCGATCCATACATCGGCAGTTTGTAGATCTGAACATGGTCAATGGTTGTCTCCATGTCATTGAGAACTATAGCCATCCGACTGCCACAATGGGAGAAAATAGGCATGTAGTTTATTGGGCAAGAATGCAACCCACACGCATAGCGGTGGTATTGAATGCAGTGCAAAGTACGGGCATTGTCACCATCAAAAATATAAATGCTCAAATCAATTGGCTGGAATCTTCTGGCCTTCTTCTCCCGACAGTGGCATCCACTTGTTACCATCAAGGCCATGATGAGATGTCCATCTCGAGAAAACTTCAAATCCTTGAGATTGGGATCAAGGCTTCTGTGGACATCATCAACCCGTGAGTTTGTGGCAAGGACGTCCCATGATCCAACCTGGACTAGACTCAAGCTATTGTCCTCACCATGTACAAAACTGGTGGCTGCAATACGTGACATACAAAATCGTGGATCAAAGGCAAATAGAGAGTGATTGTATGGCGGTGAGATTTCACACATCAGTTCCCGAGTCTCCAGACTGTACAGTTGAAAAACAAATGCGTTTGTGTCACTCTTCAGGGAAGGTATCTTAATCATACACATGCTTCCATCTGGGCTGATTTCTCCACGAACAGCCTCATTCACAAACTCGACAGACTGCTTCCCGAAAATGCCTACATACTTATTCACACCCAGATCTATGATTGCAAATAAGGTCATCAAGTTTCGAACTAGATGTAGCACAACTGTGTTGCTCTTATAACACAGCACACTCTTAACATGGAAGTTCTGTATGGAGGACAGGTGAGCAGGGATGTGGTTGTACTCAAAGTGCTCGGCCATTTTGGTAAATTTACTCTTCCTCCGAAAGCTGAAGAGTGGTCCAGATTTGTTGATATTGATAATACCCTGTCTACTGGTACAGAATGTCAAACTGCAGTCCTTATACAGAACACCGTTGCACAACATTGTCGTCTCTGAGAACCCCGCTGCTTCTGAAAAAGTTAACATTGATTAGTCTTCTGGAAACTACTATCAATCCTGAGCGGGCATTAATATGTGGTGGAAGTGATAGTGCCCCTTGCTCGCATCAATACGGCGACGCATTTTTATCTGGACGTGCTGCAGTATCAGGTATGCTGCACCTTCATACACGTGACATACATGACATACACGTGACATACATGACATACATGTGACATACACGTGACATACACGTGACATACATGACATACACATGTACAACATACCTCATGTTAATCACTGTAATTAAGTGCAGAGAAAGGGACAGCCAGGTGTGCGAGAAAGAATTGAGACGGCACAGCACAGGTTAATGAATCAATAACTTTGTCGGCACTTGTGCACGTGCTTCTCTAACACCTGGCTGTCCCTTTCTCTGCACTCCTCCCTCGTAACAAATACTGAACTGAGTCAATATTATAATGATAGTTTGTTAAACAACTTTTTTAATTTTAGGACATAAATTCTGCAAACAAATCACAGAGTTGGTCTGATATTTTGATAATGATCAGCGTTTCATTGAGTATTATATGTTTATTAGTTTTTGAGTTAGATTGCAATTCATCGGTCCGCTTTTGAGCCAAACGAACTATAGTGGCTGCAAGAGTTGTATGTTCCCCAGGGAGTTGAGATTGATAATATGATGTGGCATTGAGATTGACATCCAGTGATCGAGGGAAAAAATTCCAGCGCCTTGAGCATGTGCTAGTTATGTGGATATGTGGGCTTTATAAATATCCTACAATAATAATAATAATAATTTTGATGCAGTATATATACATTTACTATTAGAGTTAGTTACTAAATGTATTTATTGTTGGTATAGCATCACAGATCACAGCTTTTGTTATATGTCATTACTCGCTGGCTTGGTTGACACATGTCATCGGTTCCCAATTGCACAGATCGATGCTCATGCTGTTGATCACTGGATTGTCTGGTCCAGACTCGATTATTTACAGACCGCCGCCATATAGCTGAAATATTGCTGAGTGCAGCGTAAAACTATACTCACTCATTCACTTGTTATGTCATCATTGCCTCTTCCATTACATCAGTATCTCTACTCATCATTTATGTGAATCTTTCATCTCATCTGAAAAACTATTCAGGCTTTTGCAACAATAACATTTTTAAACTCTGAGGTCTGTGAAGTTAAGCAGCGTCGAGCTCGGAGAGTCCTTGGATGGGTGACCGTGAGAGTTTCTAGGACTTGAGTCACAACGAAGCACATGTGACACATGTGGTCTCACCTTAGGCAAGTGAGTTTGTTCAAAATTGTCTCTGTTCACCCAGCAGGAAATGGGTACCCCGGTGGAAAAGTCATATGACTATAACCTTCTAGCGCCTAACAGGCAGCTTGGGTTATCCGGGGTAATAATGTGCTGTGCCTTGATTGTTAGCGCTATGAGCATACCTAGTGTGGAGTTTGGCGCTATATAAATGGACACATTATTAAAATTATTTGTCTGTTGAGGAGTCTTGAACTTGTAAACACTTGTGCATTGATATTGTAAGACACTTGTGTGACATTCTAATTATCATCCCAATCATTAATCCTATTTTTTTAAGTTTGTAAATAGAATTAGACTTTTGAGTAAAAAGTGGGCCAGCTACCTTCAGTGGCATAGAGGTAAGTGACATCATTTGCATGTGATGTCATGGTAACCGATCGGATGACGTCACAGTGGTCTGCAAAGCACTGTGATGCAATTTCATTGTACAGACATTTCCTAATAGGTATCCCCGATCAATAATATTAGGCTCTATGTGTGGAATCCAGTTTTGACTGTATATGAAACATATTCTAAGAACATCTGAAGTCAGAAGAAACCAGATGCTTGATGGGCATTTAGAGGTTGGAAGGTAATATAACAATGTATGGGATGGATTTACAACTTCTTTATTATCTATAACACAACGTTTCTGGGCTACTTCTTGCGTAGATTTCTCAGGTGAATCATTCACCATCATGCTGTAAATAATAAAGAAGTTGTAAATCCATAAGGTACATTATTATGTCAGAAGAAACCATAATCATGTCCGTTCAAAATTTCTCATTTCATAGTGTTCTTCATCGCAATCATGTTGATTTAGGCATAATACTTCAGATTTGATCATACATTATTTTAGCTTTTATAGACAAACAAAAAATAAAATAAAAAGCAAAAAAATAAATAGGATAAATATAAAAATGACGACTCTGAATTATCAAGCATCATCACCTGAACCACATTTCTTCAGTGAACACAGAACAGAAAACACACACTGCTTTTGTTTGTCTGCGAGACCCAAGAGAATAAATTAAGAAAGGTCAAATCTAGAATGAGACCCAAGAGAATAAATTATGCAGAAAGGTCAAATCTAGAATGATTGGCTAAGTCTACTTAATTTGAAAAGGAGTCACATTGCTTCATCTAGCTTTAACCACTAGGCTACCAATGTACCCATGTGGCGATTCAACCTCGGTCTTCGGCGTGACAAGCTTAACGCTCCGCTCCCTTTAGAGGTTTTGCATTTGAGATGGGGTTGGGTTTATGGGAAAATATTAGGATTGAGGGACTGTGAGAGAGACTGGAAGACATACCACAGCTCTGCAACATACCTCGACTTGCACAAGTCTCTTAGGTAATAATTAATAATTTAAACAAATATAAATAACAAACTGGCATCCTTAGACTTGTACTGTCCGTTTATTTAGACCTGCCTCTTTAAAGGATAGAATTACGGAACATCCATGGGCTTAGCATTAAGTACAGCCTTGGAGCAAGGCTATATCATGCCCAGCACAGCTAGAACAAAGCTGTGGATACTAGCCTGGCATGACCATGAACCTCTGGCAGATTCCCTGCAGACATCCCCGGTCAGTGTTACCATGGCAGCAAGTTAGCACTCACCTGCATGTCCTCCCTTCCACTGGTCAAGAGAGCACTGATGTAGGAGTGACCAGGCCCTTGCCTTAACAGCCTGTCTGTTCATATTAGCTACCACTGCACTTGCTCCCATCAGACCGTAGTTTCCATTCCGGCTTTCTTCTGCTCCCATTCTACTCCGGGACTGTGGACAGAGGGAAAAATATAATTACTTGGCTTGTTTGTAGTCTGATGTCACCAATATTCCAGTTATATGACAGCTGAGTGTAAATAATCCATTCTAAACCAGATAATCCTGTGATCTGTATTACGGGCAGACAAGTCACCACGTCTGACCACCTGATTAATTTAGTCTGACCACCCGATCAATTTAGTTGCATCTTAAGACCAGTTAGGTTGCCAGAAGCTGTTCAAACCTGGAAGCTTCACAATGGTCTAACAACTAACAACATGTCCGACTACTTGGAGACTTTAGCTAAAATGACTTAACATATCTAATAGAACATTCCCCAGAGTAAACTTGTGAATGTGTATTACTTTCTGTGAAGAAAACCTAATTTTCTCAATGACATTTTTCATTCCATTTTGGACTTTATATTGGGCTACAACACAGTTATCTTTGATACATCATGGTGACAGTGATGGTGACCAGCCATATGACATTTTTCAGTCCATTTTTGGTTTTATATTGGGCTATGATATTTGTATTATTTATTATTATTGGATATTTATATGGCGCACATATACACCCACTAGTGCATGCTCAAGGCGCTGGTATTGTTTACCCTCGATCATTGGATGTCAATCTCAAAGGCACATCTTAATGTCAATCTGAACTCCCTGGGGAGCATACAACTCTTGCAGCCACTAGGCGCACCGAGTTATTGCGTCTTTCCCATCCTTACACATTCACAGCTGGGTGGACTTGGTGGACACATAGTCACAGTACTTTGTCCAAGTTCACTGAACGTTGTGGTACCTGCAACTAGGTGTTTGCACGTATTCATGTGGCCACCATCTGGTCATATACCAACGGATTCATGTTTTTTTAAGTGCACAGGGTTGTGTACTGTACACTAGGGGTTGTGACAACACTGAAAGAGTCTGCACACAAAGTTGACTCCAAGGTTTTTATACCCGGTCACTGGTCGGCTCGATCCCGGCACCTCATGCTCGCTGGATCACTAGCCTGGCGTATCTAACATTTTAAATACGTAATTTGTACGCAACAATTATTTTTCAATGAGTAATTGGAAATTTTCTATGCGTATTTTACCCGGATACGCAGCTTATCTGGGCCTCTGGCTGCCTAATGATACTTTTCAGTCCAGTTTTGGCTTCATATTGGGCTACAACACAGTTATCTTTGCTACATCATGGTGACGGTGATGGTGACGAGCCGAATGACATTTCTCAGTCCATTTTAGGTTATATTGGGCTATAAAACAGTTATCTTTGCTATATCATGTTGACAGTGATGATGACAGAGACGGTGACGAGCCTAATGATAGTTTTCAGTCCAGTTTTGGCTTTACATTGGGCTACAACACAGTTATCTTTGCTACATCATGGTGACGGTGATGGTGACGAGCGCTGGAGTGAGATATGGAGTGAGGGTAATAAGGCCGGGTTCATCACATTACCTGATTTTGATGCTATCTCTACATTTGGTCTTGGAGTAATTACATAATTCAGGTTTTACAGTGACATATAGATGGCATGCAATGACACACTGAATAGTGATGCAGTAATACCTCTGTACAGCATCCCGATACCATGGCTACGATACAATACGATTTCCAACCCTGTATCACATTATACACAATACATTACAAGTCATATTACTTTAAAACCACTGAACGACTAGCTAATGCAGATTCTCTAATAGTTCCTAGTTGGCTATAAATAGCATCACTTGTACTGTGCCCTCTAGCCTATATGTCTCAACAGTACAAAATCTCATCTTTGATCTTGACATTTAAATGCTAATGATTCAGGGTTGTGATTCACCTGCAAAAAGACAGAATATCAACTTATGAAAGAAAAGAACAGTATCATGATATGAATCATATTACACTCATAGTATTGTGATATGCATTATATTAAATCATTAATCCTGTAATAAAGAACTGATACACAATAAACAGATCATAGCACTGATGTATTTACAGTTAACAATGTTCCATACATAGCATCTCTTGATGGATGATGCGAGCCCCATGACTGAATCACACGTCCAGCTGCTGACCTCTACAATGCCAGGCAGTCTCTGACTGTGGTATCTACCATTTCATATCAAATGGCTTGAGGAGATACCAGTCCTGGTTACTACTTCCCTGTTGCAGGATCACATGTCAGAGTGTTTGCTTTTACAGTACTACTTCCCCAATGGGAAATGTTAACTCTTGCCACTTGCCACTCACACGGACATTGAAGACAATGATTATTCGAGTGAGTGAGTGTGGTTTTATGCCACTTTTTGCAATATTCCAGCAATTTCATGGCAGGGGTCACCCAAAATGGGCTTTACATATTGTACCCATGTGGAGAATCGAACCCAGGTTTTCAGCTTTATGAATGACAGCTTCAACCACTAGGCTATCCCACCTCACCCTGTTTATTTGAAATGCACATTGAAATATTTGTAACTAAATTTGAAAAATGAATGAGTGCATGTTAAGTGGGTAAATGTGAGGAGAGTGGGCGAGTGAGTGAGTGAGTGAGTGGGTGATTGGTTGGGTGGGTGAGTGAATGAAAAGGCGAGTGAGTCACTGCATGGGCAGGCAGGCATAGTGAATGAATGAGTGCATCTTAAGTGGGTGTGGTGGGAGAGTGAGTGGTGAAGTGAATTAGCGGGTGAGAAGGCAAGTGAGGTGAGAGTGAGTGAAGGAAGGCAGAATGAATGAATGAAAAAATGAATGAATGAATGCATGTTAAGTGGGTAAGTGAGTGGTTGAGTGAATTGGGTTTTACAAAGTTGCTGTAATGTTCCTGTTATATTGAGGGCGGTGAGGTAGCCTAGTGGTTAAATCGTTTGCTTGTCACAACGAAGGCTTGGGTTCGACTCCAAACATGAGTACAACCATTTCTCGTATCCCCCACCATGATATTGCTGGAATATTGCTAAAAGCAGTGTAAAATTAAACTCGGTCAGCCCTGTCCTATAGAGGAGGTGAACACCAAGAATGGTCTCTATACTTGTACATATCTAAGGAAGAAGGGCAAGATCTTTGGCATAAGCTTCACAACTGCCCTTATCATGAATATCAAGACACTATACATCATATCACTTCCATTACTTCAATGGTTTGTGAGACAAAGAGGAAAATGAACATCAAGTCATTATCAACTCAACTTTGTCAAATCAATACAAGTCCATTACCATGTATAATTTCATTATTTCATGAGTGTGTCTTGGGACTCGACAGTGTTATTACATTGTCATGGCAACCTGGACCAGACGTTGGTCGATGGTGAAAGAAAAGATTAGTATCATACTGGCTCAATATTATGACACAATTTATATCGGCTGATGTCAGAGCCAAGCATGCTCAACACAACAAATGCAGGATCACAGAAGAAAGCCAACATCACCAAACTGATCTTGTCAAAACCACTTCGCCCATAGGAGAGTGAGTGAGTTTATTTTTACCCCACTTTTAAAGTTTTGGCAATATTCCAGCAATATCATGGTGGGGGGATACCAGATATGGGCTTCAGACATCGTACTCATGTGGGGAATAAAACCCTGGTCTTCAGCATGATGAGCAAATGCTTTAACCACTAGGCTACCCCATCGCCTCACTTCACTCATGGGGAATCTCTATAGGGATTCCAGTGGTACAGTAAACTGGTATAGGTGAAACAGTATACAAGCATATTCCACAGATTAATACTCAAATGCATACCTCTGGTGTATTATGGTTACTGCACATACGTGACTTAGGCCAACAACAAAACAATGTTGTGGTTCTGATTAAACCTCTTTAAAAATAAGGGTAGGTAGGTAGGAATTGTTTTTTTCACATATTTTTTAGAAGGAAAGTACAAACTAATAACACATGTATCAATGTGTAATTGTTTATTCAATCAAGCTTGCGGCCATCATGTCGACTTTCTCTATCAGAATGACCGATATCTGTTGGTGCCAGGAAAAAACAATTGTATCTGAAAGCTTATTTTATTCAGTCCGCTTAAAAAAATAGGGTCGGCACCAGAATTCAAGGGTAATCAGTCGGGTAATCACAACATTTTTTTTAAGGCCTTATACTCTGGTATCCAGACAGGAATATAAAACCAAGGGATATATAACTGAGCATTGTTGGTAGAAACCAACATGGCGCATGAGTTTAGAGTCATCAGAGACATGTGGTACATATTGGTTGGTTGGGTTGTTGTTAAACGCCGCACTCAGCAAAATTACAGCTATATGGCAGCGGTCTGTAAATAACCGAGTCTGGACCAGACAATCCAGTGATCAACAGCATGAGCATCGATCTACACAATCGGAATACAATGACATGTGTCAACCAAGTCATTAAGCCTGACCACCCGATCCCATTAGTTGCCTCTTAAGACAGGTCACGGTACATATTGAAACACAAGGCAGAATACTGTGCTTTTGGTATGAAAATGTCTGTAACACCCAACTCTAAGATCCAGTGTAGAAACGATCCCCAGATATGGCCACCGAGGAAAAGCGACAAAATGGATTCAAGAATACATTGACGCCTCTCATTGTATTCTCTCCGGGTTAGAATGTACCTCCAGCAACCCATCCTTGTCGTAAGAGGCGACTAACAGTATTGGGTGGTCAGGCTTGCTGACTTGGTTGACACGTCTTTGTATCCCAATTGCGTAGATCAATGCTCATGCTGTTGATCACTGGATTGTCTGGTCCAGACTCGATTATTTACAGACCGCCGCCATATAGCTTGAATATTGCTGAGTGTGGCGTAAAACTAAACTCACTCACTCATTGTATTCTCAGGGTATTAGAAATGCCTGGTACAGATCACCTACTAACCACCATAATTTACCTGGAATAATGCAGCATACAAAGAAAATTCTATTTAAAAATAAAACAGATATATGTTAAGCATTCGATAATTCACCAATGCCATATTGCCATATTCTATTTAAATTTCAATCTTGGTTTTGTTTGCTTAAAAACATGTCGTCCTG